ATGTCCCGAACCGGGATGTGCAGGGTCTCTCTAGGGTGCCCCATGTCCCGAACCGGGATGTGCAGGGTCTCTCTAGGGTGCCCCATGTCCCGAACCGGGATGTGCAGGGTCTCTCTAGGGTGCCCCATGTCCCGAACCGGGATGTGCAGGGTCTCTCTAGGGTGCCCCAGGTCCTGGGTCCAGCATGCATAGAGTTTTGATAGGGTGCCCCAGCTCTGTGCTCTGTGGGACCTGAGCTGTGCAGGGTCAGTAGGGCATCCAAGGTCCAGGTTTCTTAGAGTCTGAGCTGTTCAAGAGGCTGTATAGAGTTTGGGGTGTACAGGGCATGGGGTTTTTGGGGTGTATGTGGTGTATAGCATGTATAGTGCATCCAGGTCTGAGCTGTATGAGACATGGTGTGTGTTGGGTCTGAGCAGCACGGAACCCTTAGGACCGGGCCCTGTAGGGTCTGGGGTGAACAACGTGTGAAGGGTGAAAGGGACAGGGGATGTTTGAGGCTCCCAAGGTCCTGCATGGGTGGTGCCTGAGGTGTACAGGGTGCCAAGGTCCCAAGTGCATGGGGCACACTGGCTCCCAGGAGACCTGAGGGGGACCCCAAGGCACACAGAGCTCAGGCCCCTCAGGGCCCACAACAGACCATGTGCCAAGTGCACAGAGCCTGGTACCTACAGGGTCCCACTCCATGGCCACACCCCTCCCTGCAGGGAGATAGGGCTAATGGGTGATCCTTGGGTGCCAGCATGGCATGGAAGGTTTGGGGTCTTTGGAGGGTTGCAGGAGATGAAGCTCAGTGTCAGTTTTAGCAGGACTGTGTGGCACGAGATGGGCAATGGGGCAGGACACCCTTCCTGACTGTCAGCACTCGACCAGGGACCACTAGTGGGTTTGCTGGTAGTGAGCAGCCAGTGCTGGGGAGAGGAGCCCAGCCGCCTCCCTAACCGCCTGGCATGGGGCATGGGTGGCTGTGACACAGCTCTGTCCCCACTGTGCCAGCCCCGGGCTGCCCAGGCAGAAGGGAAAGTGCCCTGGGCAAGTGCCACTGCGTGGCACTGGGCACTACCCCCCAACTACTGACCCTCCCAGCACACCGTGGGCAGGATGCTGAGCAGCGGGGCCAGCCCAGCCCCCTTTGCCAGCCCAGCGGCCGCGTTCCCCTCTCGGCATCCCGGCGAGGTCGGTGACCGCTCGGTCCCTCTGGCCGGTTGTTTGCGCTCGCTGGTTGTTCTCCCCGTGGCGCAGCCTCGGCCCCAGCGCCACAGACAGGGCTTTGTTTCAGCCTCAGCGCAGTGCCTGCACTTTCTCCAGAGGGATCCTGGCGACGGCACCTCCTCTGTTGGGACACTCGCGGAGCCGCCGCCTCCTCGCAGGCGTGACGAGCCCAGCGGGTTGGGGCGAAGGAAGGTACCGGACAGACGGGTTCTCGCGCCGAGGGGAACTGCCACCATCGCAATGCAAATACATGGCGTGATAACACCGGGGAGCAGGGAGATCACACGCTGCCTGCTGCCACATCAACCATCCCAGGGCTGTCACACTGAGGGCGAGGTTTAGAACTGCCTGCTGCACGGTGGGGCTGTGTCCAGCACGGGACTGATGTGTGAGCTGCTCTGCCCGACCTGCCGCCCTCCGAAAATCCCCGGTGGGTGGGAGTCGATGCCCTCAGTGGTACTTGGTTCGTGCTTTGGTTGCTTTGGGGCACACGTACCCCAAACAGCTCTTTGCAGGAGGTGCTGCATTGCCCCAGTTTGGCTGTGGGTCCCCATAGCTTTGCCAGTGCCTCTCCTCGCCTGCTGGAAGTCCCAGGGCTCCATCATTCCCATGCTGAGGGATGCAGGTTGCTGCAGTCCCACAGGCATCCAGCATCTTCTCCTTGCTTTCCCCTGGGATTTTCAGGGTTTTGGAGAGGGAGGGGAAAAAATGTGTTAATGCAGGAAAGGCAAAGAAGATAAGATCCAGCCTTCATCCCGCTGGCCTCTCCACACCCCTTTCTGTGGCTCTTGACAGTCTGGCTGTCTCCTTCAGATACAGGTCCCTCTTCTGCGTCACCCAGACCCATTTGGCTAAGGACAAATTAACCCCCAAATGTTTTATCTATGCAAGCAGGACATACAGGGGAGATCAAAGAGAGAAGTGATAATTACCCAAACTAGACAGGATTTTAACAGCCTCGCTAGAAGGAAACTGGATCATCTAATTACCCCTCCAATTTAAGCAATGAGAGACTTTTCGTCACAGCCTCTTTGGGGTGCATGACATGGCCGTGAGTCAGAGCAAATCCTCTATCCCTCTTGGAATTAGTGTCCTCCTCTTTCTCCTGTCCACATCACTGTGTTAGGCTCGCCCTGGCTTTCCATCCCAGCCTGAGCACACCTGGATGTGGGCCAGGCACCCAGGGCAGCTCTTTGGAGGTGATGTAAGAAGAAGTGGCTTTTTATATTATTACTATGATTAGAAGGAGTTAAATTCACCTCCTTTTAATAGTCCTGCTGCACCCAGTGTTTAATTGGCTGAGACACAGCCTCGTGGGGCTCTGCCAGCTGCTGCCCAGGGACCATGATGCTGGTGGGATGGTGGTGCCACTGAGGGTGGGGACCTCACGTGGGCTCTCTATGCCTCATGGGGTGTCCTCAAGCTATGTGCCTGTACCTGCAATGCCAACAGAGCTTGTCCCATGTGGACACCAGCAAACTGAGGTGCTGAGGAGTGCGGTGAAGGTGCTGGAGGCTCTGGAGTGATGCAGAGGCATGGCAGGGCTCCTGTGGGGTTTGACTCACTGGGCAAACGGGCACAGGTGGAAAAACTGGGGCCAGGCTTTTGGCAGAGCAGCTGTCTGCAGGCAGCATCACCCTGCCTGGGCCAGGGAGAGGCTTCAGTTCTCCTCCTGCATCCCAGGAACACCGAACACTGCATCAGAACACCCCTCCTGTTTGTACCTGCTCACATCACAGCTGGATTTTGTTCTCCTTTCAATGCCCCAAGCCTTGATGCAGGGCAGCACTGGGATGACATAGCCAGCACTCTCCAGCTCCTGCAGGGCCAGTGCTGAGCTCCCCACCTGATCCATGTAGGGCAGCTGGATGCTCCCAGGCGGGTGCTGGGTCACCCGGTCACTGGATCGTGTGACCAGTGACACTCTGGGTGTTTGGCCCCATTGCCACCAGCAGGAGAGTCGGCACCTTGCTGGGGCTGCCACTCACTTGGGGTGGCGGCACTTCATAGGTGTTGACTTTCCCTTCCTTACATCAGGCCTCTTGCACTTCTTCCCTGGCAGGACCTGTTTTCCTGGGTCCAACTCGGATGCGTTTCCATCACCCACACGTGACAGCAGAGCTCAGCTCTGGCAGAGCCCTTCAGTGTCTTTCCAACCCACCTCCTGTTTGGAGAAGGATGGGCAGAAGCCCCAGCACTGGCCCAGAGCTGGTGGGGCTTGATCCCTGTGGGGCCCCTTCACGCTTGGGGCAGGCAGGAGCATGTCACAGCTCCGGGGAGCCAGCCGGGGCACGCCGGCACGGCTTGGCTTGCATCCTGGTTGCGCCACAGCTACCAGTCCTGCCTTTGACAGCCCCGGGGCGAGCAAGAGGAGAGCCCTCCCCTGCTCCCCAGCTGAGGAAGAGGAGGAGGAGGAGGTGACTCAGGTGATGGCAGGGAGCTGCTGTAGCATGCAGGGACAATGGCATCTCAGTGGTGGCACCCAATCCAGGCGCCAGTGTCGAGGTGGAATATGAGCCCTCCGTCCGCGTCCCTGACCTGGAAGGACAGGGAAGCCTCCAGCCATGACATGGTGCTCAGGCATCCATGGGCAGGGGAACTGGAGGCGTGTGAACACTTCGGAAAAGGGAGGAGAGGTGTTGGGTGTTGCATCAGCTGGGCTTTCTTAAGCATCCTTCCTGCTGCTGGCTAGGCTGTGGTGCAAGCGTGGAGGTGGAAAGCACCAGCTCATTTCTCAGGGCATGGATAAACTGAGCCGTTTCTCTTTCTTGAAGCTGAATTTTCTTCCAAAGCACCTGCAAGGCAGAGGCAAAACTGTAACTTTACCATGCTTGCCTGGATTTTAAGGCATCCCACCTGCCTCAGGCTTTTGGGATGTCTGGCTGAAGGACAGAGTGTGCAATGCTGAAAATAGCAGTGGGAACCCCTTGCAGAGGGAGGTGTGGTGATCCATGGCATCAGCTCTCGTCAGCACTGCCTGCAGTAAAACTGATGGCAGCAGGGTTCCAGCCTGGAAATATTGGCTGGAAATATCCCCTGTCCTTCCCTGCCTGCTGCCCCAGGTGAGGGACTGATTCAGAGCTGGGTAGTGCAGCTCCTGTACCAGCAGAATGAGGCTTGAAATCCAGTTAGCCCAGGAAATGGAGTGGGAGCACAGCTGGCAAGGAGTGCCTGCTGTTGGCAAACAGTGCCTGAGCCCTGCCTCGGTGTCACCAACAGGCACAGAGTAAAGTCCTGACCACCCCAGAGAGGTTCTCCTGCTTTCTGTCTCCTCCTGCAGCTGCCAGGGTGGGTATTCCCATGAATATGATGACATTGCATCCCTCTCAGAGCAGTGAGGAGCTGGGAGAAAACCCTTCCTCTCTGGAAGTGGCACAGCTGGAAGTCCTGTTGGGCACGGCTGTGCTGTGCCGGGCCACGCCGTACCCTGCTCCAGGTTAATGGGTAACTTAAGGTGACAGAGCAGGAGAAAAGGCATGTTTGGCACGTCCTGCACAGGGAGCTGGCGCTGCTGCCGGGGGGCACGGCTGGCTTGGGGTTTGCATGGGCACGCTGCAACCTCGCCAAGCCCCCCACCAGCGGCGCGGCCGGCGCCGGAGCTGGCATGACCACGGGAGGGAGGCCGGTGCTGGCAGCCGGCGACGTGTTTGCTTCCAAGCACCGCATAAGGCAGGTTTCTCCTGTTCCTCAGCCAGCCCTGGCAGTGGGACCACAGATGGGTCTTCATCCCACTGTCACTGCACTGGTGCATCCCCTGTGCCTCGGTGTGCCCTTCCGAGCAGGGGAGGAGGGAGCACTAACATGGCAATACCCCTCGCTGTCCTGGCAGTGGGAAGGTGAGCACTGCCTGTTTGCAGGGGGAAATGCTGGCCAAGGGGTTTCTGTGTTGCCACCCTGAAGCACCAGTGCCGTCCTGGCAGCTGATGGGGTGTTCCAAACTCCAGGCTTGGCAGAAGGTTTCCAAAAAAGCCCCAAGCACGGGATGCTTGGTGCACGGTCTGAAGGGCAGTGCAGCTTGCTGGCAGCTGCTTCCCTCAGGAACCTGCTCTGCAGGAACTGACTGACTGAAATTCATGAGATTTTTCCCCGTATTTATTTAGCTGGCAGGCACGAGCTCTCTCTGCCCGTGCCCCTGGGTGCCATCACTGTCCCAAACTGTGTCTGCCGCTGATGCTTCACCACAGGGTTTTCCTTCTCTTTTCAGAGCCTCTCTGAAACAGTGGATGAGAAGGTGGTGGATGCTGCAGCCCAGATCCCAGAGCAGACAGATCTTTGCTACAAAACAGTGGATGTGGAAAAGGTAAGAGCCCTGGGGTTCCTCTGGCTGTTTGCCTGAGTGCTCCCAGGAAACACCAGGTCTCCTCTTCCCTGCACGAGCTCTGGCTTTCTGCTGATCTCTGGGATGGGAGGGATGGCAGGAGGGAGCTGAGTTGATCCAACTGCTTCTGCCCTTTCTCCTGGTGCAGATGGCATTATTGCTCATGCTTTATTGCACAGGTGTGGCTGCACTGGGAGGCTCCCATTGCAGCAACATTGGAGAGATGGCTTTCTCTGACAGCAGCTGTGCCCTTCCAGTGGGATATGTAGCCAAGCCACACCTTGCTTGCTTTACTTCTTTTTTTTTTTTTCCATGCTTTATTTATTTTTTTTCTCGCTTTATTTATTTTATTTTTTTTTCCCTTGCTTAAGCTCCGGTAATGAGCACTAAGGGATTCCCCAGCCTGGGCAGGGTGATCCCCATGTGCACAGGGTGCTCCCTGACCTGCCAGCTCCTCTCTGAGGATGCCACAGCAGTGGGGATTTGTCCCCCATGTGCCTTTGGCTGTCCCTGCCCTCCATGGCACCATCTGGCCACCGTGCCTTGCATGGTCCCAGCTTGTCAATGAGTGTGCTTTTATCTTGCAGAAGGGGTTTTTTGAGCAGGAGAACCTTTCACCATGCCATAATAATATTTTATCACTTTAAAACTGCCTTTAAAACTGCATGTGCCATCCCCAAGTGACCTGGAATGCCCCGACCTGAGCCATCCCCACCAGCAGCACAGGTTGCTGTGCCGGTGCCGGGCGGCACCAGCGGCCCAAGGGGAGCCGCCAGATCAGGCGAGCGCGGTTTCAGTCCCGGGGCAGGGGCGGGACCGAGACTCCACCTTATCTGGCCGGGCCGGCGGCAGACGCGTCCGGGGCTGCCGAGCAGTGGCAGAGGCGGTGCTGCCGGTTCCATCTCCCCATTTCCATCCCGTGCTGCAATGCTGCACACACGGGTTCCTTCTTGCTCTTGCAGACCCCTGAGCGCAGCCATGCACAGCAGCAGCACTGGAGTCTGTATTCCCATCTTGTATCCCTGCTCCCTATCCCCTTCCACTTCATTCCTTGCTGCTGGAGTGCCCAAACAGCTGCCATCTCCTGTGTCCTCTCCACAAGGAGAAAAGTCCTTGGCAATGCCATGGGGATGGGATCCACGTGCCACCGGTGGTGCTCTACTGGGATGTATCACTGCTTGCTATCTAATCTTGGCAGCTCAAGGGGCAAAGAGCCTCAGTTATCAGGGCCTGGTGCTGAGCCAGGTCTGGGTAAGCCACCTTCACCTTGAACCAGGAGCAGGTGCCCGGTGGCACGGGGTGAGCTCAGCCCTGCACTCCTGGGTACGTGGGGCTGATGCGTGTCTGGCTCCTCGTCTGCCCCGTGCTGCTGCTCGTGGGCAGCTCAGGGCACCTTGGAATGAGGAGCAACTGCCTGTGGGGCACGGAAAGGGGTTTGCAGCCCAAAATCCCACAGCTGAGGCTCAGCTTTGTGCCTGATACTGGGGTGGTGTGTGGGTCCCACTGTGGGTACCAATAACCACTGTCTACGCCCTCAGGACCTGGTAGACTGGCAGAAGCCCCTGCTGTGGCAGGTGGGCTACTTAGGGGAGAAGTACGACGAGTGGGTGCACCAGCCCGTGGATCGGCCCATCCGCCTCTTCCACTCGGACATCCTTGAGTCCCTCTCCAAGACAGCGTGGTGAGCTCCTGGGGTCTGCACCCTGCCCCGGCCGGTGCTTCCACAGGGGGGAGGGAATGACTTGCCAGCCAGTGGGATGCTCCCTCTGACATCTCCCTCGACCCCGCAGGTACGTGGTGTTCCTGGTGTGGACGCCCGTGGTGCTCTATCTCAGCTGGTTCAGCTACACCTCCCTCGCTCAGGGCAACACCAGGCTCTTCTCCTCCTTCACCACAGGTACGAGCAGCAGCAAAGCCTTTGGGCTTCATTTACTGTCCCCACTCTGGGTCCAGGGGCAGGACAGCCCTGGGTGGGGGGAGAC